AACATCAGCTGGGCACAGTGGCTCACACCTGTAATCCCAACACTTTGGGAGGCGGAAACAGGCAGATCATCTGAGGTCAGGAGTTCAAGACCAGCCTGACCAACATGGGGAATCCCCCATCTCTACTAAACGTACAAAAAATTAGCCAGGCATGGTGGTGGGCAACTGTAATCCCAGCTACTCCAGAATCTGAGGCAGGAGAATTGCTTGAACCTGGGAGGCAAAGGTTGCGGTGAGCCGAGATCAGGCCATTACACACCAGCCTGGGCAACAAGAGCAAAACTCCATCTCAAAAAAAATTATAATAATCAAAGAGCTAATAAGACAATGTAAAATAAGTGGGCCAAATTAAAAAGAAGATAAAAATAGAAAATCTAAAACAAGAACCAAGCATTTGGAGGCTCTTTTACCTGGGGTGGGACGCATTCAAAGGTCTAAGACGAGGCTGAGGAGTGCTTCCGCAACTCTGGGAGACAAGGGCAAAGCTGGATTGTGGGACTGGGGTGCTGGAGAATCCCAGGCACAAAGGGCTCAGATCCCAAAGGGCCTCACCGCAGGAATAAGGGGGCGACTCAAAATAAACCTAAAGCCTAGTTGGCTTTGACTAATCTGGCTGACCCAGAAAAGTTCAAATTCTGAAATTGGATTAGGGGAATCCTGGATTAGTATAGCTTTAAGGCCTGGCAGAAACAAAGAAAGCCCGTTGTCCTAGGCCTCAAAGGATTTCTACAAATACCTTTTCAAACACAATTTCCAGCATATACTCAAGTAGTCTTTTATTGTATGCCATTCTTAAGTTAAAACAAAAAAATTTTGAGCACACACCTTTAATACAAATTTGTTTACAAATTATCACACTTGCTACTTTATATTATGGAACGTACAGAAAGAGAAATGCTAGAGGATGAGATGAGAAATAAAATGTTTACGTTTTAAAATTTTTATTTTTTATGGCAAGAAGCAATTTTATTTGAGTTAAAATTATTTACGAAAGCCCAAAGACATATTTCATGAAACTCATACAAACTATTTTTTCCTGCTGTTGGCTTATGCCCCAGAGATCACAGCTGTGAAATACTGTGTAAAATAAAAGTAGTACCAGATTCAGAAAAGTACTCTACTTTTAAATTTCCAATGGGTAGTATATTTAGACATATTTACAAAGGAAAAAAAAAAGGTTACTTTAAGACTCTAGTTAATTGGCAGGTCACCTCAAGTGCCCAAAAAGGTAGAATTCTCTGAGTGTTAAAACACACAAATGCGCTGCATTTGGTGAAGGTGATATTTCCCCCACCTAAAATTGTATTTCCAATAGTAGAGAAAATTTTTAATATCACTGTATTAGTTTGCTGGAACCACAAAGTACAAAGAACCAAACAACAGGAGTGGCCCGGCACCGTGGCTCACACCTGTAATCCCAGCACTTTGAAGGGCTGAGGTGGGCAAATCACGAGGACAAGAGATTGAGACCATCCTGGCCAACATGGTGAAACCCTGTCTCTACTAAAAAAATACAAAAATTAACTGGACATGGTAGCGCACACCTGTAGTTCCAGCTACTTGGAAGGCTGAGGCAGGAGAATTGCTTGAACCAGGGAGCCAGAGGTTGCAGTGAGCTGAGATCCCGCCAACTGCATTCCAGCCTGGCAATGGAATGAGAGACTCTGTCTCAAAAACAAAAATAAAAGCAAAAACAGGAGTTTATTCTGTCACTGTTGTGGAAGATAGAAGTCCAAAATCAAGCTGCTGGGAGAGTCACAGACCCTCTGAAGGTTCTAGAGAAGGATCCTTCCTCGCCTCTACCAGCGCTGGATAACCCAGGTGTTTCCTGGCTTGCGGTAGCATAAATTCAGTATTTGACTTCTCCTTAACTGATCCTCTCCTCTATGTCTATCTGCTCTCTTTTCTCGTTATAGGGACACCAGTCACGTAAGAGGAGGGGGCTACTGGCCGGGCACAGTAGCTCACACCTGTAATCCCAGCACTTTGGGAGGCTAAGGCTGGCGAATCACCTGAGGTCAGGAATTCAAGACCAGCCTGACCAACATGGGGAATCCCCCATCTCTACTAAACATACAAAACATTAGCCAGGCATGGTGGTGGGCAACTGTAATCCCAGCTACTCCAGAATCTGAGGCAGGAGAATTGCTTGAACCTGGGAGGCAAAGGTTGCGGTGAGCCGAGATTGCACCACTGCACTCCAGCCTGGGCAACAGGAGCGAAACGCCGTCTCAAAAAAAAAAAAAAAAAAAGATAAGGGTTTACCCTTATGACCTCATCTTAATTTAATTAATTATATCAGCAGTGACCCTATTTCCAAATAGGAACTAAGTATAAGGATTTCAACTTAACTTTTTGTGAGACATAATTCAATCCATAACAATCACCAACTAGTCTTCATTACTTCAAAAAATCTTTTGAAAGTGATTAATACTTTGAGATTTGGCAGTTCAATGACCTATATTCAGTTTATCTTTTTTTTTTTTTTTTTTTTTTTTTTGAGACGGAGTTTTGCTCTTGTTACCCAGGCTGGAGTGCAATGGCTTGATCTCGGCTCACCACAACTTCCGCCTCCTGGGTTCAGGCAATTCTCCTGTCTCAAGCCTCCTGAGTAGCTGGGATTACAGGCATGTGCCACCGTGCCCAGCTAATTTTTGTATTTTTAGTAGAGACGGGGTTTCACCTTGTTGACCAGGATGGTCTCGATCTCTTGACCTCGTGATCCACCCGCCTCAGCCTCCCACAGTGCTGGGATTACAGATGTGAGCCACTGCGCCCGGCCCCAGTTTATCTTAATATTTAATTTTAATGTTTGTCATAATTTTAAAAAAATATAAGACATAATAAGAAATATGTATTTGGTGTCTGCCTCCAGTTCTTGACACAGAGCTCCTAAAACTCTTGTAGTTTCCTGAGCAATAGGAGTACTAGGAACATTTTCTATTCTAATATTTGGTCCTCAACTCTGTGGTATGATTTGGCTCTGTGTCCCCACCCAAATTTCATGGCGAATTGTTGAGTGTTGAGTGTGGGGCCTGGTGGGAGGTGACTGGATCATGTGGGCAGATTTCTCATGAATAGTTTAGCACCATCCTCTTAGGAGTGTTTGCACAATAAAGTCCTCTCAAGATCTGGTTGTTTAAAAGTGTGTGGCATCTCCCCTCTATCTTGCTCCTCCTCCAGCCATGTGAGATGCCCCGCTACCCTTTTGTCTTCCGCCATAATTGGAAGCCCTTCCTGAGGCATCCCCAGAAGCAGAAGCCACTATGCTTTCAGTACAGCCAGCAGAACCATGAGCCAACTAAACCTCCTTTCTTTATAAATTACCCGGTATCAGGTATTTCTTTATAGCAATGTGAGAATGGACTAATACACTCTGGTTCCTGAGACAGAGCTCCTGAATCCTTTGAAAATTCTTGGGATGCCCAAAAGACGATGGAAATGTCTTTTGTTCTACCAGGCAACTCTTGGTGGGCTCCTGAATGGAGCTGGTCACCAGCAAAACCAGGCCATGATTAGAAGCTTGGAACTTTCAGCTCCACCCTGCATCCTCTGGGGAAGAGAGAGGGACTAGCGACTGAGTTAATAATGAGTCATGCTTACATGAGGAAGCCTCCACTGAATCCCTAAACTACCAGGTTCAGAAAGCTTCTGGGTTGGTGAATACAACCATGTGCTGGGAGGTTGGCACATCGCAACTCCATGGGGAACAGAAGCTCCTGTGCTAGGGACCTCGCTCTATGTAGTCTTCATCTGGCTGTTCATTTGTATCTATCATATTCTTTATAATAAACCAGCCAATGAAAGTAAAATGTTTCCCTGAGTTCTGTGAGTGAACTGTTCTAACAACATGAAGTGTGAGGATGGTGAAGAGCCCTGATGTACAGATTTATAGCTGATTGCTCAGATGTACAGGAGGCCCAGTTCTGGCACTGGAATCTGAGGTGGGAACAGTCTTGTGGAATGGAACCCATAACCCACAGAGGCTGCACTAACTCTGGGTAGTGTCAGAACTGAATTGCAGGGCTGACCACAGGCTCACACCTGTAATCCCAACACTTTGGGAGGCCAAGACGGGAGGATCACCTGAGGTCAGGAATTCAAGACCAGCCTGGCCAACAAGGCGAAACCCCGTCTCTACTAAAAACAAAAATTAGCTGGGCATGGTGGTGGGTGCCTGTAATCCCAGTTACTCAGGAGGCTGAGGCAGGAGAATCGCTTGAACCCTGGAGGCAGAGGTTGCAGTGAGCCAAGATCATGCCATTATGCCACAGCCTGGACCACTGAGCAAGACTGTCTCAAAAGAAAAAAAAAAAAGAAAGAAATGAATTGTAGGACAATCAGTTGGTGTATAGAGGGTTGGCAAGTTGGTTGTTATGGACATACACTCCCACATTTGGTGTCAGCAGTGTGGCAAGAAATTGTTTTTAATACCTCAAAAAGATGAAGAATTCCAAATGAAAGCAGTGCCGCTCTAACTTGTTTTTTTTTTTCTTTTTTTTTTAGACAGGGTCTCACTCTTGCCCAGGCTGGAGTGCAGTGGTGCGATCATGGCTCACTGTGGCCCCAGCTCCTGGGCTCAAGCAATCCTCCCACTTCAACCTCCTGAGTAGCCAGGACTACAGGCATGTGCCACCATTCCTGGCTAATTTTTTAAATTTTTATATAGAGTCTCATCATGTTACCCAGGCTTCTGACTGACTTTTGAACACACAGTTTTTCAATCTCATTTACTTATAGAAAGATTTTTCTTGAAATTTAGCTAGCAAATTTCCATCTTTACTATGTTACTTGTTCTTCAACACTGAATGGAAGATGTTACATTTTTATTGTTTTTATAAATAAGTTAGAAATCCAAAGAAACTCTGTTTAGGACATTTTTATTTTTTTTCTTGCTCACATCCGGCAGGTAATGTGCTGATGTTGTAACAAGGCTTGAGGGAGGCATATCTCACATGTGGATGTGAAAACGCAATCATCAAGCTTATGAACCACAAAAGGATCTAGAAAAGTTTTAAACATATGAAACAATTCTGTGTCCATGCTTGCGTGCATATAGGAGACACCATTGTATAGCTTTTTGACTTTAAATCATCTAAGAGCAGAAATGCTTTCTAACATTCTTTTTCCAAATACTCTCTCAAACTCATGAGCATAATGAAGGAAACAAAACACACTGGTGCCTATTTGAGGGTGGCGGGTGAGGGGAGGAGCAGAAAAAGCAACTATTGAGTTACCGGGCTTAGTACCTGGGTGATGAGATAATCTGTACAACCAACCACTGTGACATGAGTTCACTTGTATAACAAACCTGTATATGTACCCTCAAACCTAAAGCAAAAGTTAAAAAGCAACAACAAAAAACAAAAATCCAGAATACTCTCTCCATAGGGTGCAATATTTCTAAAGCAACTATTTTCTCATTTGTTGTTAGGCTATTTTCTTTTTATCTCGAGGAAACATATGAAATGAGTTTATTTTTTCAAAAACATCTGTTACATGGTGTGCTACAGAGACTCACTCTATCTTTTTGTTACAGAAAATGTCAGTGTCTTAGTTTAGTTCCAGCTGCTTTAACAAAATGCTATAGACTGGGTGGCGTATAATCAACAGAAACTGGTTTCTCAAGAGCTCTGGAGGCTGAGAAATTCAAGATCAAGTTGCCAGAGGATTAGATGTCTGGTGGTAAGCACCCACTTCCTAGTTCATAGATGGCAGCTTCTCACTGTGTCCTCACTTGGTGGAAGGAAAAGGCAGCTCCCTGGATACTAATCCTTACACCCTAAGATTAGGGTGTAACCCTCATGACCTACAGCCCCTCCCAAAGGCACCACTTCCTAATGCCATCACATTAGGGAATTAAGTTTCAACATATGAATTTTGGGGAACATTAACATTTAGACAGTAGCAGCAGCCAATTCTGTATCCTTGTCTTCTGGGATGAATACTGTGATCCATCACCCAGCGCATCCTCCTGTGATGTTGGTCTTGCTGCTCCAGATGTAGGGAATGCTGGCGGGCATCTCAGGGACTGCCTGGGCCGCAGCCCTTCCTGGGGTGGACACCCAGGGACCATCCCATGCAGGAATATAAAGAACTGGCCATCTCAGCCCAGCTCAGGACAACTCTGAAGAGCCATTCTAGCTCCAGAGCGCCCATGGATTCAACCTAGCGTCCTGGCCGGAAATGCATCTCGAAGTCTGTCTCTCCTCAGTTTGCCTCTTTCTTCCCCCTTCCTTCTCTGGGTGTTGAAACCAAGGATGTGCCTTAATAGTCATCCTGCAGAACATGTCTCAGAATTTTCTTCCCAGACTTAAGACATTTTCATCTAAAAGAAAAAAAAATATGTGTAACTTTTCTTTAAATACCTTGCCAAGAAAAAAGCCAGAAAACTCCTGGTGGTAAAAAAGGTTTGCCTGCCCATTTTAGTGATGGCCTGTTATTTCAAAATCTTGCTTTTACAAAATTAGGGCCATTGAAAATAACTCATAGCAAAGAAACAGCAATACAGAGTAATACCGACAGTGGAACTCCGACCATGCCCTCAGGATCCTTCCTATTGTTCTGTTTGACGTGAACATGGAACATGAGAGACAAACGAGGACCCAGGTGTCTATCTTTATAGCAAATATTAAGAAAGCTTAATTTCTTACCTTTTAACATAAATACATATACTTTCTCATATTTTCTTTCTTTGCCCTCAATATACAGTATTATATTGCAAAGTCTTCTCATCTGAGCAAAAGGCCACAAGAACTGAGTGTAAGGAAGACAGATAGGTACATCCCAGTGGGGCCAGGATTCATGAGCTGTCTGTGCTGCTGAGGATGTGGGAAGAGCCGATGATAACTTCTAGATTTCCAGCTCAAGCGCCTGAATGAAAGTCAGTGGCTTGACATCTTTGACTTAGGGAGAGGAACAAGGTGGCATTTGCCATGCAGGATTTGGAGCGTGAGGGTGGAACATCTGGATACAGGAGTTTAGTGGGCAGATTCCAGTGTCTGTATGCTCTAGGGGCAATCAGGAGAGCTGTCAGGACTCAAGGGGCCATCTGCAAGCTTGGGAAAGTTAAACCAAGGAAGTGATGAGAATATAAAGAGAGAAGATGACAAACCTGAAGTAAGGTTTTTACCGATTAGGCCTAGCAGTAGTAGTACTGAGGCTATGCTGGAAAGGCCTCAGGTCTCAAGGCAACCTACAGGAGGCTGTAGAGATGCAAATGTGGGCTAATGAAGTCCTGGGCAAGGGCATAGGGAGAGGGAGGAGTGGGAAGGAGAGGAGGGATTTGGACAAGCTTTGAGCTTTGTGACTAACAGGAGTAAGGAAGCAGGGAGAGGAGAGAGTTCATGTTTTCCTTTTAGACTTCATTTGGAAAAATACCTTTATTTTATTTATTTATTTATTTATTTATTTGGAGACGGAGTCTCGCTCTGTCGCCCAGGCTAGAGTGCAGTGGTGCTATCTCAGCTCACTGCAACCTCCACCTCCCAGGTTTAAGCAATTCTGCCTCAGCCTCCAGAGTAGCTGGGATTACAGGTGTACACCACCATGCCCAGCTAATTTTTGTACTTTTGGTAGAGCTGAGGTTTCACCATGTTTGACAGACTGGTCTCGAACTCCTAACTTCAAATGATCCGCCCACCTCAGCCTCTCAAAGCACTGGGTTTACAGGTATGAGCCACAGCGCCCAGCCGGAAAAATACCTTTATTTCAAATATTCTGTGCTGTACTCCCATTATGACCTTATGAAAATCCACATACATATGAAGCCTTTATGGTTCAAGTGTTAGAAGTGCTTACACTTAGGCACTGACCACACACTAGTTTCCTATGGTCGTTTAAACAGCTAACTATAGTAATAGATTTTTACCCACACAGACAGCAACGACATGTCATAAGCAAGAGGGCACGTAAAACTGATTCTCACTTCCTTCTGTGGTGTAATCATTTCCACGACAGGTAGTATATTTGTTTCTAGACCATATTTATAAAAGTTTATATTGTAGCTGTTTAGGTTCATTTGTTAGTTTTTTGGGGGAAAGTTAACCAATTTAGAACTTTGAAAGGGTGTTTATACTATTATTTTCACAATTTAATAGGTAGAACATCTGAAAAACAGATACCATATTTCTTTCCTTTAGCAGCCGAATCTCTTTCTAAACTTCTATAAGCACTTTCCACTGACCCCGCCCCCAAGCCGACACACCCAAAAAACGGGTAACAACAGAGAAAGGAAGACTACCACTCAAAAAAAAAATTTCTCAAACATGTCATATTTTCTTTGGTGTTACACAGAATGGAGCCTGCATCCTTCCACTTAAACAACAAATCCCTGACTGTTACACTCCCACAGAAGTGTGACATTCTACTGGATCTTTATGTTCTAGTACAAAATATAAATTTCTGGTAGCACCTTTTTTCCCTGAGTGTAGTTTTAGAATGTTAATTTTTGGATAACTAAGTTATTGCAGGCCTGTTTGAATCAGGACTGAGGGGAAATTGCATTTGGGATTGCCAAAAACATTTTTTTTTTTTTTTTTTTTTTTTTTTTGAGATGGAGTTTCGCTCGTTACCCAGGCTGGAGTGCAATGGTGCGATCTTGGCTCACCGCAACCTCTGCCTCCTGGGTTCAGGGAATTCTCCTGCCTCAGCCTCCTGAGTAGCTGGGATTACAGGCACGCGCCACCATGCCCAGCTAATTTTTTGTATTTTTAGTACAGATGGGGTTTCATCATGTTGACCAGGTTGGTCTCGATCTCTCAACCTCGTGATCCACCTGCCTCGGCCTCCCAAAGTGCTGGGATTACAGGCTTGAGCCACCACGCCCGGCCGCCAAAAACACTTTTATTGGACTTAATATTTATTATAGCTCAATATCAAGACATTGGCTTAGAAGTACTTATTCATATACTACTACTCTTCTACTTTGTCATGAAATTGGAGTTAGGCTCAAATTTTACATTGTAATTGAAGTCTAGCTAACAGTAGCTGATAACATTCCTGTTGTACTTGTCTACGATGTTAACCCATTCAATCTTCACCTCAATTCTATTAGGTAGGAACTACAGGCTGACCATCCCTAATCCAAAAATCCAAAATCCAAACGTTTTGAGCACTGATACACCACCACAAGTAGAATATTTCGCACTTGACCTTGTGTACACACACTTTGTTTCATGTACGAAATTATTTAAAATGTTGTATAAAATTACCTTCAGGCTATATGTATAGGCGTGAGCCACCGTGCCTGGCCAACATGTATATTAGTTCATTTTCTTGCTGTTGATACAGACATACCCGAGACTGGGCAATTTACAAAAGAATCACAGTTCCACCTGGCTGGGGAAGCCTCCCAATCATGGCAGAAGGTGAAAGACACATCTCACATGGTGGCAGACAAAGAAAAGAGCTTGTGCAGGGAAACCCCCTTTTATAAAACCATCAGATCTTGGCTCAGCATGGTGGCTTACGCCTGTAATCCCAGCACTTTGATAGGCTGAGGTGGGTGGATCACCTGAGGTCAGGAGTTCAAGACCAGCCTGGCTAACATGGTGAAACCCTGTTTCTATTAAAAATACAAAAAATTAGCTGGACTTGGTGGTGCATGCTTGTAATCCCAGCTACTCGGGAGGCTGAGGCAGGAGAATCACTTGATCCCGGGAGGCAGAGGTTGCAGTGAGCCAAGATTGCACCACCACACTCCACTTGGGCAACAAGAGCAAAACTCTGTCTCAAACAAAACAAAACAAAACAAAACCATCAGATCTTGTAAGACTTATTCACTATCATGAGAATAGTATGGGAAAGATTCATTCCCATGATTCAATTACCTCCCACTAGGTCCTTCCCACAGCACGTGGGAATTGTGGGAGCTACAGTGGAGATTTGGGTGGGAACACAGCCAAACCACATTGGCATGGTTATTTATACGGTCATCCTCTAGTCACTTCACTTACTACTCACCCTTTTCACCTATTTGCCTACCCACTCCAACTCACATGCCTATTCCTTCCCACATCCCTTCTGGTTCTCTATCTACTTTCTAGTGCGTTCTCTTTCAACCCAAGCAAAGCATTAATTTATTACCCATTCTGCTCTTAGAAGTGTGCCTTTACATGTATTTATGTGGATGATGCATTCTTAATTTGGATCTCTGAGAGACCTAATGACATTTATAGTGTAATAAAATGTAATGATGAATTTCACTTCAAAGTGCACTACTGAATTCAAAGCAATGATCTAGGAAATACCAGGGATGGGGGGAAGCCCGAGGGAGAAGACAGGATATTGTCCCTTTTATATTTTTTTATAGTCTCATGGTGGAGAGAAGTGTGATATGTCTTATTTGGAAATTCAGATGCTATGTTATGGAAGTAGAAGCTGAATTCATGTTGAGTAGGGATGAAGACAGAGAAAGCTTCCCAAAGGATGTGGTCTTGCATTGGTGTTTTAATAATAATTGACATTTCCGTAGATGGAGAAAGGAGAAGTGAGAGAAAGAAAGGGCACTTCAACTGAGCATGGTACATGTCCTCAGGAAACAGTCAGTATCACAGAGCATGTGATGATGAAATTGAAAAAAAACAGAGCCCACTTAGAGAAACTTACATGTCATGCTTGGGCACTAGGTTCACTTCTAGAGTAAAGGGAATCCACTCCTATTAAATACAATCAGTCATTTCTTCTCCCAAACACAGTAAGAATAATTTTGTTTAGAAACACAGAGCTGAAAGTGTATTGCCAATCCCATTTATCCTGCCTTCCATCTGCTGCTTTTTACCAGCTCCCACTATTCTAAAGTGAAAGAGCAACACTCCCCCTGATCTCCTTACGATGGAATCTTGTTTGTCTTTCGCTCATCCTTTCTGGATGCAGAGTGGTGCACCTGCTGCTTTGTGTGTGTGCAATGCTCCTCCTCCACCAACCCACCCTCCTCTTCAACGGGTTAGTACCTGTCCACCAGGTTCAGGTTATCTCAGCCCAAACACTGCTTTCTGACTTAGCCAGCTAAGTTAGGTTAACATATTCATATAATTAAGATATTCATATAGAGTAGCCTTTCAAAATACCTATCACAGTTTATTTATATATATACACGCACAACACATATATTTATTTTAGACAGGGTCTCCCTCTGTTGCCCAGGTTGGAGTGCAGTGGCGTGATCTCCACTCACTGCAACCTCCACCTTCCAAGTTCAGGCAATCCTGCCTCAGCCTTTCTTTTTTGCTTGTTTGTTTTGAGATAGATTCTCACTCTGTCACCCAGGCTGGAGTGCAGTGGTGTGATCTTGGCTCACTGCAACCTCTGCCTCCCAGGTTGAAGCGA